CACTCTCTCCCAATTCGCCAGTGGATGCAGTTATTATTAGAAGTTATAACATTAGAATTATCAACAGTGAGAATGAATGGCGCTAATCAAGGAACAATTGAGGCCTGGACAAATGTACTTGACTCTGTAAAGAATAATCTCAGCTAAAGCCCAACACATACACTGAACAAAAATACAGTGGTAGAAAAAGTACCCAATTGTCATACTTGAGTAAAAGTAAAGATACCTTACAGTTTTTCTCAATTGCTAAAACACTAAAACCCATTGGCTGAACAAAGTTCTCCGTTGCCTGGACTCATATAGCTAATTATGCAGTCTGTTGTCAATACCTTAAATAATTTCACATGGTAAAACACAATTTGCAGATCTCACTTTTCAGCAAAACTCTAAACACATTCTCATTCTCAAAACACATTCTGCACTCTAATGCACATGTCATCCATACAGGTAAACACAAGTGGCAAAAATCAAATACAAATAGAGAACAAATGTCATTGATTGAACACAACCACTCAAAATTGATTTAACCTGTTTCAAATGATGCGACACAACCAATATAAGCCAGTTCAGAGAGCAAACAGGTTGTTGAAGGTGGGAAGGAGAAAGTCTGAGAATGGATAGAAGAATCAATGTGAGAGGACGAGGACGAGTGCGTATGCGAGGTGGGCGACGAGGAGGAAGAGGAGGAGGAGGGCAAGAAAGAGGAAGAGGAGGACCAAGAGGAAGAGGAAGACAAAGAGTGGAAATATCTGATGAAATTCGAGCAACAGTCATAGACCATGTTCTTGTCCATGGACTGACAATGAGGGAAGCAGGACTTAGAGTGCAACCCAATTTGAGCCGATTTTCTGTGTCCACCATAGTAAGGACATTCAGAGAAGAGAACAGGTACAGTATACTACTGTATTTTTGTAACTGCACAACTACTTTTTGTAGAATTGCAAGGCTGCCACATGCAGGTGGAAGGACAGCTATATTCACTCGGGAGCAAGAGGCCGTTATAGTTGGCATGGTCCTTCAAGATAATGCAATACGACTCAGAGAAATCCAGGAACGAGTGATACAAGACAACACACACTTCCAGGGCATCGACAGTGTGAGTATTTCCACAATTGACCGTGTCCTCCATCGTAACAGGATGCGAATGAAACAATTATACAGAGTACCTTTTGAATGCAACTCACCAATGGTGAAAGAACTGCGAGCTCAGTATGTGCAAGTAAGTGTACATTCAGAAACATTTACTGTAATCCAGATTGTCTACAGTACTAACACATACTATGTGAATGACATTACTCTTCAGTACATACAATGTATGTGAATCAGAAGTGCATACAGTAGGCCTAATTGTACTCTACAGTATAGCACTGTCTCTGTGCGACTTACAAAATCCTACATACAGTATATTGTATTTCTACACAGACAATATTTGACTTGGAATCCTTGGACAGACCCCATGAGTTCATCTTTGTCGATGAAGCAGGCTTCAATCTAACAAAGAGGAGAAGGAGAGGCCGAAACATGATTGGACAGCGGGCCATTGTTGAAGTCCCTGGTCAACGAGGTGGCAATGTCACAATCTGTGCTGCTATCAGCAACCATGGTGTTCTACATCACCATGTTACACTCGGGCCATATAACACCCAGCACCTTCTAAGATGTATTGCCAATCTAAGAGATATTTTATTTGAGCAGCAGGTTCAAGAGCAGCAGGGTCAAGAGCAAAATGAGAATCCCATTCCCACCTATGTGATAGTGTGGGACAATGTCAGTTTCCACCGGGCTGCTCAGGTAAGGGAATGGTTTAACATCAATGGGCATTTTATGAACTTGTACCTCCCTCCATACTCGCCTTTCCTGAATCCGATTGAGGAGTTTTTCTCCTCTTGGAGATGGAAAGTGTATGATAGGCAACCCTACACCAGAGTAAATCTGCTGCAAGCCATGGATTTAGCCTGTGGTGATATAGGTGAGGAATCATGTCAGGGCTGGATACGGCACACAAGAGGCTTCTTCCCCCATTGCCTCAGGAGGGACAATATTGCTTGTGATGTCGACGAAGTGCTCTGGCGTGACCCAGCCCAAAGACAAGAAGAAGCACATTGATCACATGTTTACTCCTTTGATTTTTGTCCCTTTTAGTATTGTATACTGTAGTACAGTGCATTGTAGGCTGTATACTGTACAATGGACAAATTGTATGGCCCTGAACATTGTGCTTTCCATTTGTTAACAGTACTGACTGCTCGAATAGATTTTGACTGGTTGCAGGTTCATATCAACAAAGAACAAGAATTACAGTATCACAGAGACAAAGGACAAGTTTGTGAGATGCAGGGTACAGTACTGTAAAAATAGGAGTACAAGGAGGAGGAAGAACAAAAAACAAAATTGCAAAGAGCAAAGCAGAGTAGTAATTTCTGATCAATTTTGAGCTACTATGATAGAACATGTTTTCATTCATCAAAAGACAATGATGGAAAAATATGAAATTTGTTTTGAGATGAGAAATTTACTTCTCCCTGAGAACTGTATGTTTTGAACAATGTGTTTTCTATTTTTCGGTGTATTGTTTACTGACTGCTTGAGAGTGTATATCATTTTGATCACTTTGTTTATGATTTGAGAGCAGTGTTTGATTTTGAACACAGGTCAAACTGTTTTGAGGCAAATGTATCATTTTGCGAGAGGAGTCAGAGGTTTTGTAAATAGTGCTTGAAGATGAGGTTTTGTGTTGAATGTTTTCAGGAAATGGAGCAAGGTTTCAGAAATTGTGTTTTAGCAATTGAGAAAAACTGTAATAGAAAATGACAAAAGTAAAAGTGAAAGTCACCCAGTAAAATACTACTTGAGTAAAAGTCTAAAAGTATTTGGTCAAAAGTAAATTTAATTGCAAAAATAAAGTAAAAGTAAAAGTACAAGTATAAATCATTTCAAATTGCTTATATTAAGCAAACCTGACGGCACAATTGTCTTGTTTTTTTAATTTACGGAAAGCCAGGGGCACACTACAACACACAGACATAATTTACAAACAAAGCATTTGTGTTTAGTGAGTCCTCCAGATCAGAGGCAGTGGGATGTTCTCTTGATAAGTGCGTGAGTTGGACCATTTACCTATCCTGCTAAACGTTCAAAATGTAACGAGTAATTTTGGGTGTCAAGGAAAATGTATGGAGTAAAAAGTACATTATCTTTAGGAATGTAGTGAAGTAAAAGTAAAAGTAGTCAAAAATATAAATAGTTAAGTAAAGTACAGATACCCCAAACAACTACTTAAGTAGTACTTTAAAGTATTTTTACTTAAGTACTTTACACCACTGCAAAAATATAAATGCAACATGTAAAGTGTTGGTCCCATGTTTCATGAGATGAAATAAAATATCCCAGAAATGTTCTATACGCACAAAAATATTATTTCTCTCAAATGTTTGGTACAAAATTTGTTTACATCCCTGTTAGTGAGCATTTTTCCTTTGCCAAGATAATCCATCCACCTGACAGGTGTTGCATAAGCTGATTAAACAGAATGATCATTACACAGGTGCACCTTGTGCTGGGGACAATAAAAGGCCACTCTAAAATGTGCAGTTTTGTCAATCAACACAATGACACAGATGTCTCCAGTTTTGAGGGAGCATGCAGTTGGCATGCTGACTGCAGGAATATCCATCAGAGCTGTTGCCAGAGAACTGAATGTTCATTTCTCTACCATAATCCGCCTCCAACGTTGTTTTAAAGAATTTGGCAGTATGTCCAACCGGCCTCACAACAGCAGGCCACATGTATCGCGTTGTGTGGGTGAGCGGTTTGCTGATGTCAACGTTGCGAACAGAGTGCCCCATGGTAATGGTGGGGTTATGGTATGGGCAGGCATAAGCTACGGACAACAAACACAATTGCAATTTTTCGATGGCAATTTGAATGCACAGAGATACCGTGATTGGGATGTTGCGGGTGGAGGCTCTTTCTTTTCAATTTCCAAAGTAAAATGATTCAATAATTTGTACTTATTTACATTTTTTATGTTTGGTCATGATTTCTGCATTAGTGCTGTCTACTCCCCAAGACACCTGCTTGATGGTTGAAATGAAATTACAGACACGTACTCACTGTTCCACGCCAATGGCTCCTTCTCACATAAGACAGTCAGAAGCAATAACATATTCAATTAATAAGTCTCCGGCGACTAAAGGAATCCGCTGCGCATGATATGGAAGGATTACTTTTCCCATTTGCTATCATGCAGATAGAAGGGCGGTGTGGAGATAAGGATTGGAGCAACCATTTAACAAGAAGGCACTAGAATGTATATCTTTATCAGGGCAGAACACGACTCACTTCTGAGGAGATATATGGCGGGAAAAGCAGGACAGTGCAGATAAGAGTTGGTAGGGGGAATAGCGATATTGTCTGTGGCTTCACGCATTAGCCTTTTCAGATTGTTTCTCTGTGTTTTGACTGCCAATTATACTTTCTACTGCCCCCCTTATTGTCCCTACTGAACATGTGAATTATACACAAACTAAGTGTTTATGTTATAATTGAAGCCAGTTTCATCATTGAAGTCATTTTAGTGAAACACTGAAGTGTCTGTGATATACGGCTCTGCATGCTTGATGTGGTTGCTTTTTATCCAGTTTCACTGTGACATTTAGCCTTCTAGTGACTTGAAAAGGAACAGAGGCATGGTGACCATATGTCCATTTCTGTCATTATACTGTAACTCTACTCATGGGAAACACATTCTCTCCATAGCTGAGCAGTGATCATTCAGTCCACTACTGTACAGTACCCTCGTTCCTTCCTGCTCAAATTAGTAATGATAGGGCTATACTGTAACTAGGGTCTGCGGTTATTCCTGGTCAGGACACAAGGTCAGAAAATACTGAGAAATAGGGCCCAGAGTTTCCCTGGTCATGTCATACAGTATGGTAAGGAAAAACTCAGGGCCCCAGCCACGAGTCATGATTTCCCTCTCCCTCTCTGGTCACTGTAGGTGCTCGAATGGCTACTTTGGTCAGCCGGCGGTTAAGGGGGGCTCATGCCAGCCCTGCCAGTGTAACGGTAACCTCGACCTGGCCTCACCGCAGAGCTGCGACCCCATCACCGGCTCCTGTCTGAGGTGTCGCGATGGCTACGGGGGAACCACCTGCAACACCTGTGCCGAGGGCTTCTATGGGGACGCCATCGAGGCCAAAAACTGCCAATGTGAGTATATGAAGTACATGAGTATCAGAGCCTGCAGTACGTTAAGCCCCTGTCCCTGTCTGAGTCTCCTTTGAAGAGCGGAGTGTTGCTGTAATGTTATGCGAGCGCTGCCTGTCTGCCTGCCTGCCTGTCTGACAGACAGCCTGCATGCCAGGTGTGGCGGTGTGTTTGAGAATGTTTGGCTTTGAGAATATGAATTATGGTGGAGAGAGAGCGAGAGTGAGTGAAGACAGAGATGTGCAGATGGTGACTGTCTGTGTAAATCCACATAAACAACCTGTGTTGACTCACAAACCTCAATGCTCAGCCCATAAAAGTTTATCATTCATCTGCCTCTCTGTTCTCAGCAGTGCAGTCTGCGATGTTGATAATGTCTGGATGAAGATAACTAATTAGTCTCTGTTTACCAAAACAACCCATTTTACGATGATGTCTAGTTAATAAAAAATGCATTACAGCTTATCACAGCTTATAGCCAAATGGATTCTTGATTTATAACTCTTGATATACAGCTGCAATACATTAAGATGATTCATGATGTCAAAGAAAATATAGAGGTATTGATAGTGATTGATAGTACATTAAGACTATAGACTGGTAGAGCACAAGAGTTAAACATGCAGCTAATGCATCTATAGACTTCTACAATAGAATGGAATAGCTGCCTTCATCTGCCTTGATAAAAGGTAGACGCACTACTTCAACTTTAATGAAATCTGTAGAATGATAAAAGTAAGTTGGTGAAAAGAAGTCCATTTTCGCTGAGTTATTCTGGCAGTCCTAACTGATTAAAGTGGTGGTGGTGGGGCATTGGGGCGGAGATGGAGTAATCAACATTAGGAATGCAGAAACGGGGCGGTCGTTGATGGAAATTGCCCATGCTATCATGGTGGCAGGGAAAACAAGTTGATGATCATTGTCACAGATCGCTGCAGCATAATGTGTAATATTGTTGCTTGTTTCAGTGTGTGATGAAACCATCAACATGACCCTTTCTCTCAGACAGCCCAAATTAAAAACTTTACCCACTTTAGATCCCATCTGGACTCCATGCTGTCAGGGAGAGAAAGGGAGTCTTACAACTCATACTCATTCCAACCTGTTAAACATTGAATAAATGCAGGCATTTTTAAACCTTACACGGGCGAATGAGCACAGTACAAAGACAGAAGAAAAGCAGATGTCCCCTCCAACCAGTCCTATATGAAACCATCTGTGCCTGTGTTTTCTCCTGCAGATCACTAGGACTTTTTAAAGTAAATAATGAGCCAGTTATACAATGCAAATGTGTTCCCGTGTCTAGCAATCTGAAAGATGTTGGATTTGCGTACTCTGTATGAGTTGATGATAATAGACCGTAGTACTGCACAGCAATAGGACAGAAGAGAACAAGTGGACCTGCTTGTACTGTACAGTACATACCTTATGTGAGAGGGCCTTGTTGGGGCTGAACTTACACTGCTCCTTGTTATTCTAAATCAGATGAATTCAACTGATAAACCACCCCTCCCCTCTCCTCCTCCCCACCCCTCTCATTGGTCTACAGCGTGCCAGTGTCACAACAATGGCTCTGTGTCGGAGGTCTGCCACCAGGAGAATGGGCAGTGCCAGTGCAAGCAGCATGTGGTGGGACGGCAGTGTGACGAGTGCATGGTAGGTCACCAAAGGATCAGCTGTCATTCCGAATCATGTTCATTCGGTCACAATGTTATTTTATAATTGGGATACCCATACAAAGGTGGACAATCTATGGGGACATTTCAAATCAGTTACTGTGTCAGATACTGATGATTAGTAATGCTGATGTCTGAAGTTTAACCCATTTTTCACTCCAGTGTTTGGTTTCACAGATATATTGTCATCTAAATATTTCCAAAAGTTTCAGGATGACTACCTCGTTTATACTCAGTACCTCAGACATTCACAGATAACTAACTTCCTGCCCCTCACTGCTCCTGGTGAATGAAGCCCAACTGTTGGTGGGACGCAGAGGAGCAGGTGTGTAAGCCGTGCTCCTGCAGCCGTACAGGGGCCATGTCCCAGCGCTGCGACCTGGAGGGACGTTGTATCTGTAAGCCCGGCTTCGTGGGCCACCGGTGCGACCTGGGTCGCCAGGGTTACGAGCGTCGGGAGACGCGCAGGCCAATAGAGAGGGTCCGGCTGCAGCAGGTCCAGCGCTGGGGCTCGTCCCGCTCTGGGGGCTGTCCCCGGGGAGCCTACCGCCCCTCAGCGGTAAAGACAGTAAACATCTGCAGCACTGAGTGTTTTATTGTGTTAGTGTGGTGTGATGCTTCCCAAGCCTGCCCAATCAACCAACCCACCGAGTCCGTAGCTACAATTTCACCTCACCTAGCCACAACGAACATGTCCAGCCCTGACCCTGACTATATGTGACTGCAACCTGACCCCACTTCAAACCTGACCATATAGGCCTTCTCTGACTGACCACAACTGACCACTCTCCATCGTCCGAACAGAACAGATCTGATGTGTACTGGCTGGACCACAGAATGACTCTAACCTGACCTGAGCTGACATGACACATTGCCTGGTCAGCAGTAAGCCTCTGACCTTAATGACTGTATGTGAAACAGCCTGGCACTCCACTCATCTTAGCCTCTGCTTTCTGCTATGTAAAAACAATTAAAAAAGTATGCACTCACTAACTGTAAGTCGCTCTGGATAAGAGTGTCTGCTAAATGACTAAAATATAAAATATATGAATATATTTCAACTGGGCCTGTCACTGAATAGCCTTGTGTGATACAGACTGTACTTACTAACACATATTTGAATTGAGCTAGGATTGTATGTATATGAACTAGCTATAAGGCTACTGTATGCATGTATATGAACTATTATGTACAGTATGTAAATATACATATACTGGTTACAGATAAGGTATGAATGTAGAACAGCATTCTTTAGATGTACAGATGTAGGATCTTAATTTGACCCGTATTGTCACAGGAAAATAATCCTGCAGCAACAGGATTTGAACGTTTAGTCCATAATTTTGCTTGATAGGTGGATAGGCTATTAGTGTGGGTTTTCAGTGAATTTATGAAAATCACAAAGCTCATCTGCATTTTCTGCGGTGCAGGAACATTCTCAGCAACAAAAGAGTGATCAAATTAAGATCATACGTTTGTACTGTAATGTAATTGTAAATCCTTGAGGCATTGAACACATACTTGAATGCACAGTGTGATTCAGTCACACAGTAGTCTACATTGTAAAGAGGTGATTGAGGATTCTTGGAAATATCCAGCCCCCACTAGATCCTTCAATTGATGTTTAACCTTTTAAATTGCCGTCTTATCAAGGACAGCCCTTTAAGTTGTGATAATTAATTATTCAGCCTATCTAACGGCATTCATCTTAATTGAACTGTTATTTAAAAGTTATGTTATTTAACCTTGGTCAGAGGCAGTGTTGGGGAAATTATTCTGAAAATATAGTTCACCAAGCTACCAATTACGTCACACTTGAAGAAAAAGCTACACTAAAGCTACCCTTAAGAAAAAGATGGTTTACTTAAGTTCCTTTGATCAAAAGTAGTTCACTCCAAACTACTTTGCGAAAAAAAAAAAAAAGGTACATCTGAAATGTCATATAGAAATTGCAAGAACAGCTCACTATAAGTTAACAGAATGTGTAACTTAGCCTATTAAACACAACAAAATTAAGGAAATTATTTCCTACTTCACCCATATTGTGTGCAACGCTAACACACCAGGCTGGAACCATGCTACACACAACCACATTACACACAACCACGCTACACACAACCACATTACACACAACCACGCTACACACAACCACGCTACACACAACCACACTACACACAACCACGTTACACACAACCACGTTACACACAACCACGTTACACACAACCACGTTACACACAACCACATTACACACAACCACGCTACACACAACCACATTACACACAACCACACTACACACAACCACGCTACACACAACCACATTACACACAACCACACTACACACAACCACGTTACACACAACCACACTACACACAACCACGTTACACACAACCACGCTACACACAACCACGCTACACACAACCACATTACACACAACCACACTACACACAACCACGTTACACACAACCACATTACACACAACCACGTTACACACAACCACGCTACACACAACCACACTACACACAACCACTTTACCACAACCACATTACACACAACCACGCTACCACACAACCCACCTACACACAACCACACTACACACAACACTTACACAACAACACGTTACACCACACACCACGTTACCCCAACCACGCTACACACAACACATGACACACACCACCTACAACGCACACCACATTACCCAAACCACACTACCACAACCACGCTACACCACCACATTACATACACACCACACTAAACACCTACCATGTTACACACAAACCCACACTACACACAAACCACGTTACCAACAACCACGCTTAACCCACAACCACGTCTACCACACAACCAACATTACACACAACCACAACTACACACACCACGGTTACACCACAAACACATTTACACACAACCACGTACACACAACCACGCTACACACAACCACACTACACACAACCACGTTACACACAACCACATTACACACAACCACGTTACACACAACCACGCTACACACAACCACGTTACACACAGCCACGTTACACACAACCACGTTACACACAACCACACTACACATACACACATTATTATTTAGCTGTGCTGACAAGAGTAAGCAGGCACTTCTCACACACAGACATCTGTCATCCCCAACATAACACCTGGTTGCTGCTCAGGTGCTAACCGCTCTCTGTCAATCAATCAGCCGTCCATTTCCGCTCCCGCCTCCGAGACAACTGGATCCACATGGGCGGTGGATGCATCTCATCAGGACTCCGAGCACCCCCAGAGAGAGCTCCCATGTGACTCCCCTGGGAGGGAGGGGGGGGGGGGTGGATAGTCTGGGGGAGAGGCCCAGGGATGCGTGCCACCTACCACCATCCCCACTCTTTCCTGTTGAAGGGAGAATAATGTAGATTGCCAACCAGGCAGGAGCTGTTGGCTCCTCATATAATCAGATTCATATCGGACCATCTGTCTCCGGCTGCCTCTTTCCCCGCCACCTCGCCTTCTACAGCTAAAATTCCCATTTACTTATTCACCACGTTGCTGCATTTATAATGAGACATGGACAGTTCCTCTGCCCGTTGCACAGATACATTTGTTTATATTAGATTATGTTTTGTACTTCTAATATTTTGTATGTCCCCACCATCAATTGAATTGTTACTATTGTTACTACTGTTCAAATAATTATTTCCCATACAGAGACATTATTGTATGATGTGTGTTCTTGAATACTTTGTCTGAAGTATTGAAGTGTGTGTTTTGCAGTGTTTGCGGTGTGTCACTGTGTGCTGTACTCGTTTGCTGTGGTAATAACACTGTATGTCTGTCTATGACAGCTCTATGGAGTCCCTGAATGACCTCTGTATCTCTGTGCTATCCCCAGCCCCAGACCTATGGCATTCAGTCCGCTGGAGGCTGTGTCCCCTGCCACTGTAACTCCTTTGGGTCCAAGTCCTTTGACTGTGACGAGTCGGGCCAGTGCCGGTGCCAGCCTGGTGTCACTGGGCCCAAGTGTGACCGATGCGCTCCAGGACACTTCAACTTCCAGGAGGGTGGCTGCACACGTAAGAACTGACTGCCATCTAACTGATTGATGTCTGCGAATAACTTTTGGTCAATACAATACTTTAATACATCTTCTTAAGATTTTATTACTGCTTTCCTTCATGTTAAAAAATGGTATTTTCTCTCTTACAGTTTTAATGGAAAGTTGTTGTGCTGAGCCTATTCTGTTGTTTTGAGTGGAGTTTGTTTTTCCTGCCCCCTTCCCAGCGTGCCAGTGCGCCCATGTGGGAAATAATTGCGATGCCAACATAGGACGGTGCATCTGCCCTCCCAACACTGTGGGGGAGAGATGTGACAAATGTGCCCCCGATCACTGGGGTCATGATATCATGGCGGGCTGCAAGGTACACCATACCTCACCTCATCTCACCCCGCTCCCCTCCAAACTGGTCCTGTCTGGCTCTTTCCTGGAGTTAGGCCTATTCTTTTATTGATCAAAAATGCCCATTAAAAAGGTTTAGCAAAATAACCAACTTTTATAGTATAAAAATTAAAACTGCACAAAAGTGCTTTGAGATTGAATAGAGCAACACATCATAGGATTACTACTGTGTATAATTTTATAATTGATTTTGTAGCCAATGTTTTAACCCCCTTTGTGGAAAGTTTGTGGAATGTTTACCATATGAAGCTGATGGATTAACCCTTTGTGACTGGGTATTGATTCACCTAATGGTACATTGATTATGAATACCTGCCACTCTCCTCCACAGGCCTGTGGGTGTAACCAGGTGGGCTCAGTGACCCAGCAGTGTAACCCCAACACAGGCTGCTGCATGTGCCGGGACCAGTTCCATGGAGAGAAGTGCAGCGAGTGTAAGCTTGGCTACCGGGACTTCCCACAATGCATTTCCTGCGGCTGCAACGTGGCCGGTTCGGACAGCCAGACCTGTGATGCAGACCAGAATGTGTGTGCCTGTGCAGACAGGACTGGACAATGCAGCTGCAAGGTAACCCACAACCATCAGTTGATTGTAGTCTACTCTATTATCTACAGTGGGGAAAAAAAGTATTTAGTCAGCCCCCAATTGTGCAAGTTCTCCCACTTAAAAAGATGAGAGAGGCCTGTAATTTTCATCATAGGTACACGTCAACTATGACAGACAAATTGAGGAAAAAAATTCAGAAAATCACATTGTAGGATTTTTAATGAATTTATTTGCAAATGATGGTGGAAAATAAGTATTTGGTCACCTACAAACAAGCAAGATTTCTGGCTCTCACAGACCTGTAACTTCTTCTTTAAGAGGCTCCTCTGTCCTCCACTCGTTACCTGTATTAATGGCACCTGTTTGAACTTGTTATCAGTATAAAAGACACCTGTCCACAACCTCAAACAGTCACACTCCAAACTCCACTATGGCCAAGACCAAAGAGCTGTCAAAGGACACCAGAAACAAAATTGTAGACCTGCACCAGGCTGGGAAGACTGAATATGCAATAGGTAAGCAGCTTGGTTTGAAGAAATCAACTGTGGGAGCAATTATTAGGAAATGGAAGACATACAAGACCACTGATAATCTCCCTCGATCTGGGGCTCCATGCAAGATCTCACCCCGTGGGGTCAAAATGATCACAAGAACGGTGAGCAAAAATCCCAGAACCACACGGGGGGACCTAGTGAATGACCTGCAGAGAGCTGGGACCAAAGTAACAAAGCCTACCATCAGTAACACACTACGCCGCCAGGGACTCAAATCCTGCAGTGCCAGACGTGTCCCCCTGCTTGAGCCAGTACATGTCCAGGCCCGTCTGAAGTTTGCTAGAGTGCATTTGGATGATCCAGAAGAGGATTGGGAGAATGTCATATGGTCAGATGAAACCAAAATATAACTTTTTGGTAAAAACTCAACTTGTCGTGTTTGGAGGACAAAGAATGCTGAGTTGCATCCAAAGAACACCATACCTACTGTGAAGCATGGGGGTGGAAACATCATGCTTTGGGGCTGTTTTTCTGCAAAGGGACCAGGACGACTAATCCGTGTAAAGGAAAGAATGAATGGGGCCATGTATCGTGAGATTTTGAGTGAAAACCTCCTTCCATCAGCAAGGGCATTGAAGATGAAACGTGGCTGGGTCTTTCAGCATGACAATGATCCCAAACACACCGCCCGGGCAACGAAGGAGTGGCTTCGTAAGAAGCATTTCAAGGTCCTGGAGTGGCCTAGCCAGTCTCCAGATCTCAACCCCATAGAAAATCTTTGGAGGGAGTTGAAAGTCTGTGTTGCCCAGCGACAGCCCCAAAACATCACTGCTCTAGAGGAGATCTGCATGGAGGAATGGGCCAAAATACCAGCAACAGTGTGTGAAAACCTTGTGAAGACTTACAGAAAACGTTTGACCTGTGTCATTGCCAACAAAGGGTATATAACAAAGTATTGAGAAACTTTTGTTATTGACCAAATACTTATTTTCCACCATAATTTGCAAATAAATTCATAAAAAATCCTACAATGTGATTTTCTGGAGAAAAAAAATCTCATTTTGTCTGTCATAGTTGACGTGTACCTATGATGAAAATTACAGGCCTCTCTCATCTTTTTAAGTGGGAGAACTTGCACAATTGGTGGCTGACTAAATACTTTTTTCCCCCACTGTATCTATCTACTCTACTATTATCACCTAGAATATTCATCACAGGATGCTGTGTCAGGTGATTGCATCAGACTTCTCCAAATAAGTGACAGCAAGAAACTACAATGAAATTCTCCCAAAAGAAACCAAAGCCAGCTCTTCTGGCATCTCCCTGATGTCTAACCAGCATTGACTTATCAAAGTTACATAGCGTAACTAGGCCTGTATTTTTTAAGCCTCACTGCAATTACCTGGAAATGTCACATTAGAGTGACTATGGCAGATTTCTTCATATAGCCTATATTTCAACAGCAGCACTCTAGCTCTCCGTACCTACCTAGTACCTTCCCTATCTGGGCTCAGCACAGGGCCTGTCGCCATCCTCTGCCTGCTTGCCAGCACCGAATAAACCCAGAGCCAGGCAAACAGAACCCAGGCAGCGTAGCGTCTGTGTGTGTCTGTGTGAGGGAAGGGAGTGTGAGATGGAAATAGACCTGACGTGGGGGGAAGGCATTCAGATTAGCTAGCGCCAGGCAGGCAGTCGTCGCCATCCCCAGCTCCGTGCCTCACAGTGACAGTGCTGTGACATTGTGACAGGCTGTCACGCAGGGACAGCTATGAGAGGTGATGACTCTCATTAACGCAGACTGAGAGAGAGAGGGTGAGAGAGAGAGAGAGAGAGAGAGAGGGAGAGAGAGAGAGAGAGGGGAGAGAGAGAGAGAGAGAGAGAGAGAGAGGGGGGGGGGGAGAGAGAGAGAGAGAGAGAGAGAGAGAGAGAGAGAGAGAAAAAAAACTGCCGCCACCCAGTAAAAAGCCCCTTTCTACCCTGAAGTAAAGGTGACACATGAAGAGGAGAAGACTGTTGTTGTTGGGTCTCTTGTTGTAGTGTGTGTGTGTGTGTGTGTGTGTGTGTGTGTGTGTGTGTGTGTGTGTGTGTGTGTGTGTGTGTGCTGGCGCACATGCGTATCTTCCCTCGCTGGCTGTTTATTTTAGACTACTGGGATGGATGGATGGATGGATGGATGGATGGATAGAGAGAGGAGGTTGATGGGTTTAGGGATGTTAGTGAAGGTCACGGTGATGGACAGTGACTGGAGGGGTGATGGACACGGTGATGGACAAGGTGATGGGGTGGCGTGACTCTGTGTGTTACATGAAGCCATAGAAATATAATTTCTGGCATCCTTAGCATCCTCCTTAAAGTTGAACCCACAGACTATTTTTTTATTTTTGTATATGTAGTTCATGGCACAACCAATGTCTGTTATGAATGTCGCTTCTCAGTTCTGAATGCTTTGGGAGTGTATTAGCTAGGGGAAAGCATAAGATAAGATATAAGTGAAATGTTCCATTTGAAATAGTGGTTTTTGGTATGATGCACTGTTATCAGGGCTGTCACTGCACCTTATCATTCCTCCGCAGACATGTCACTGTGGTACACATACACAGCAGCCCCTTTGACATGCACCTACTGTACCTACACACATCGCTGCCTTGGGATTCTTCTGAATATCACCTTCTTTGATCAATACCAAGCAGGATAGGCGAAGAGCACAAGAGATATGACTTTTTCTGTCACTAGTATTTATCGCTTGGCTCTGTCTTTAATCAAATATCTCTCTAGGCCTATAATATGTTTGCAAATCAATTCAGATTTGTTTTGTGTTTGTTCTTATGTATACTCTACTGAAGACTTCACTGTATAGTTGTGTGTTCGGTCCCCAGGCGAATATACAGGGTCTGAAGTGTGACCAGTGTAAGTCGAGGACTTTCGGCCTGAGCACCAGGAACCCACTGGGCTGCAGTCAGTGTTACTGCTTCGGTATGTCCAACACCTGTACTGAGGCACAGGGCCTCATCCGCATGTGGGTAAGTCAAGTCATGAAGAAATGTGGCAGAAATCCACACGCAGCACACATGTACACATGTATTCCCAATCTCATGCAAGTCCACCCACGCACAGGCACAGACTGAGGTACAGTATTCATACACAAACATACAGTAACTGTGAGTGCACCCACCCACATCACGCAACACACACACACACAGACAAACACATATCATATGAATAATGTTCTATGCCAGTGTTCACCAACCGGTCGATCTCCAAGGCTTTCCTAGCCAAACATTTCTGTAAAAAGCCAAATGATAAAGCCTTGCGAACGCTGTTTTCTTATTCGTTTAGCGCTGTTTGAGGTAGGTGCAATTGATTCAGCTGCCCTGCGCGCCGGGTAAGCAAAGTGTTCCCATTTTGAACCATTTCATGTGTCTGAAAGCAAATCAAGTCAACGTATAGGCCTACCGCTGGCCAATCAGATAGCTCAGATCACCGTGTCTGCAGCTTTCATGAGCCCACATCGAAGTTGATAGCCGAGTCTACTGTGTGAGATTTCAAAACTTTCAAAACCATGACTACAGAGAGACTGTCAACGAATACAGCAAAGAGCTGCTGTTTTTTTAGTGATTTAATATTACGTTTTCACATTTTTACTCTGTCAACACTTTATTCAACACTTTTATAAGCCATAATACGCCCGACCCTATCCACTCGCTCTACAAAGTGTATCAATATACTTGCGTTGTTATTAGCAACTTGCGTCTTTCTAATATCGAGGAGTAGCGTATTTCAGAAATAAATGAAGTGCCATCGAGTTTCGCCATCAGCTGGAAGACAGTGTCCCCTTTTTGGTCAGTCAGCAGAGGGAGGAAGAGCTGATGAACATTGAGAGGCAGCCTCTCCACTGCTCGCTCTCTCTCGCTCCCTCCACCATCAGTCCAGTCAAATAAAAAAAAGCTAATGATTTCAATTTATGCCTCACAAGTAGTAGGCCTAAAACAAATGATATATTACCAGTGGGATCATATACCTTCCGTTTTGAAATATAATTTTAAAAATGGTCTGAGAAGAACAACATTGGCAAGGCAATTCAAGAATAGCCAATAAGTGATAATGGATATAGGGTACAGTAGATATAGGCTATAATAAAACAACATTTGTTTTCATGCAACAGTTAACAAACATGAATTAGTCCAATATACTGTATAACTTACTGTACGTGCAACCAAAGTACTGAAATAGTCTAGAGGGAACTGCCACAACCCAGCTATATGATTTTATGGGCAACAGAGTAAATATTAATAACATGAAAGTGGTTCTCCTCCATTGCTTCATTCCCAACCAGGTATTTACCAGGTAGGGGCTTGGAGCAGGCAGAGGCTGGGAGCTACAAGCTGCAGCTTCCCTGTTTGTTTTTAATAAGGATTTTCTGCCAGAGCGCCTCAGATCTGATAACCCTCCATCCGCTGTGTCCATGGAGACCGCGGCTGAGGACATCGGAAGAGGGACCCTTCTTTCATATAAATGGAAACGACAAACAAATGAAATAAAGGGTGTCGTCCCAAAGTTAATCTAAGTTTGTTTTCTTTAAGACAAAGAGAAAAAAAGACAGCCAGTTGAGAATCCTCTCCCTTATTCATTGGAAGGCAGGAGATTGTCTCTAAGTCAGTGAGTCATGAGATTGCATGGTGAGGTGAGGGTCACAGCCTGGCCCCCCTGGAGCCTTTAGTGAGCCCTACGCTGGATATTTAGATGGGAAGGGAGGGCACATTTAAAACAGGGGCCTCAGAGGCATAGTCTACTGTACAGAAGTGACTTTTTAAAGATATGAATGTTCTACTTGCCCAATTAAACACGTCTCTGGCCTGCCCTCAGGATGTGAAATGCATTTTAATCTACAACTGTATGAGAGGCTGAGTCCTGGTGTGTTATTGGAGAATACAGTTGTCCAATGTCACAGAGGCTGTTTTCCTTTTGAAAAGTACTTGCATCACTCACTCGCAACATAAGCACTTTACAGTGAGGGAAAAAAGTATTTGATCCCCTGCTGATTTTGTACGTTTGCCCACTGACAAAGACATGATCAGTCTATAATTTTAATGGTAGGTTTATTTGAACAGTGAGAGACAGAATAACAACAACAAAAATCCTGAAAAACACATGTCAAAATTTTTTGAAATTGATTTGCATTTTAATGAGGGAAATAAGTATTTGACCCCTCTGCAAAACATGACTTAGTACTTGGTGGCAAAACCCTTGTTGGCAATCACAGAGGTCAGACGTTTCTTGGAGTTGGCCACCAGGTTTGCACACATCTCAGGAGGGATTTTGTCCCACTCCTCTTTGCAGATCTTCTCCAAGTCATTAAGGTGTCGAGGCTGACATTTGGCAACTCGAACCTTCAGCTCCCTCCACAGATTTTCTATGGGATTAAGGTCTGGAGACTGGCTAGGCCACTCCAGGATCTTAATGTGCTTCTTCTTGAGCCACTCCTTTGTTGCCTTGGCCGTGTGTTTTGGGTCATTGTCATGCTGGAATACCCATCCACGACCCATTTTCAATGCCCTGGCTGAGGGAAGGAGGTTCTCACCCAAGATTTGACGGTACATGGCCCCGTCCATCGTCCCTTTGATGCGGTGAAGTTGTCCTGTCCCCTTAGCAGAAAAACACCCCCAAAGCATAATGTTTCCACCTCCATGTTTGACGGTGGGGATGGTGTTCTTGGGGTCATAGGCAGCATTCCTCCTCCTCCAAACACGGCGAGTTGAGTTGATGCCAAAGAGCTCGATTTTGGTCTCATCTGACCACAACACTTTCACCCAGTTCTCCTCTGAATCATTCAGATGTTCATTGGCAAACTTCAGACGGGCCTGTATATGTGCTTTCTTGAGCAGGGGGACCTTGTGGGCGCTGCAGGATTTCAGTCCTTCACGGCGTAGTGTGTTACCAATTGTTTTCTTGGTAACTATGGTCCCAGCTGCCTTGAGATCATTGACAAGATCCTCCCGTGTAGTTCTGGGCTGATTCCTCACCGTTCTCATGATCATTGCAACTCCACGAGGTGAGAACTTGCATGGTGCCCCAGGTCGAGGGAGATTGACAGTTCTTTTGTGTTTCTTCCATTTGGGAGTAATCGCACCAACTGTTGTCACCTTCTCACCAAGCTGCTTGGCGATGGTCTTGTAGCCCATTCCAGCCTTGTGTAGGTCTACAATCTTGTCCCTGACATCCTTGGAGAGCTCTTTGGTCTTGGCCATGGTGGAGAGTTTGGAATCTGATTGATTGATTGCTTCTGTGGACAAGTGTCTTTTATACAGGTAGCAAACTGAGATTAGGAGCACTCCCTTTAAGAGTGTGCTCCTAATCTCACCTCGTTACCTGTATAAAAGACACCTGGGAGCCAGAAATCTTTCGGATTGAGAGGGGGTCAAATACTTATTTCCCTCATTAAAATGCAAATCAATTTATAACATTTTTGACATGCGTTTTTCTGGATTTTGTTGTTGTTATTCTGTCTCTCACTGTTCAAATAAACCTACCATTCAAATTATAGACTGATCATTTCTTTGTCAGTGGGCAAACGTACAAAATCAGCAGGGGATCAAATACTCCCTCACTGTAAACCCTTGGAACAGAGCTTCCCAAACACAACCCATTATCTGTGTATTGCGTGTGACATTTAGGCCTATAAGTGATGCTGTTTGTTTGTTGTGTCTTTTGTTGCTGTAGCTGTCCCTGAAACCAGAGCAGACCAAGCTGCCCCTAGTGGACAAAGCCAACCAGCAGGAGACCACACGCGGAGTGACCTTCCAGCACCCAGAGATCATCGCTAACGCTGACCTGGTCACCCAGAAGCTGACCGAACCCTACTACTGGAGACTGCCTGAGCAGTTCCAGGGGTCCATGGTGAGGGCACCCTCATCTTGAAATGATTTAACAAGTTGATAACAGGTGTACAATCGACCCCTGATATACTGTATATAATTGCTTGGGACTGCTTTACGTATAGCCTATGCTTACACTAAACCCAAACATGCAGATATCTGGAGTGAAAATGTATGTATTTGAATTGGGAACTGGTGAACAATACTGCTTTGAAATACTTTCCAACTTGCACTTATCAGGAGTTGACTATATTCTGTTCAGAGATGTGTATAGTACTGACAAGCTTCTTTACTTGGATGTGGTTTCTCCTCTTTAGATCACAGCCTACGGCGGCAAGCTGAAGTACGCTATCTACTTTGAGGGGCGTGACGAGACAGGCCGTACCTCCTACGAACCCCAGGTCATCATAAAGGGAGGGCCCAACAGAGACAAGGTGATGGTCCGCCACATGCAGGGACTGCAGATTGGACAACTCACCCGCCATGAGATCGACATGACAGAGGTAAGGAAATAAGCCAGGGTTTCCCAAACTAGTGGTCGCGACCCCATGTGGTATCGCCTGATTTGAAAATGGGGTCGTGAGAGAAAATGTGCACTTCATAGAACCAGGGTTACGTCAGTAACCTCCATTAGCCAAGGTTGTAATAAACAGAGCGGTTTCTGTTTTCTTCCTACAAATGTGGCTCTATCTTTTGAATGGTTTAAGCTACTAAATATTATGACCCCATCACTGAAAGATAACAAAGACTCTCGGGAACACGTTCGTTAGTACTGTTTCCTTCTACTATGCCCACAAGTCGTTAGAACTGAGTGGACAAGACTAGGCACTAAATCCGTCTGGAGGAAAAAGAACATCATCAATGATGATGTTCTTTTCTACACAGAAAATCATACAAAATTATTGCCGGATGATCTTCTGGAGAATATCTTTCTGATGCATTTCAGTTACTTCAAACCATACTGTCTTCAGATTGAAATACTGTCAAAAGTTCTGTCAGACTGATTTGTAATAGACTGTCATAGCCACAATTAAAAAAGTCAACATTGGCCGTTGATTACATCACTTTTCTTTACATGGTGGGTTCACGAAAAATGTTTGATATCAATATGTGCAAAGCTGTCATCAAGGCAAAGGGTGGCTATTTGAAGAATTTCAAATATATCTCAAATATAAAATATATTTTGATTTGTTTAACACTTTTTTGGCAACTACATGATTCCATATGTGTTATTTCATAGTTTTGTTGTCTTCACTATTATTCTACAATGTAGAAAATAGTAAAAATTAAGAAAAACCCTTGAATGAGTAGGTGTGTCCAATCTTTTGACTGGTAGTGTATTTTCCTGCATAAGTCAAATAAGGATTATGCCTCTACTGCCATTCTTTCCAATTAGACTGGCTTGGATTTCTCCCTGACCAATATGGCTGCCATTTTCACCCCATTCTGGAACTTTGAACTTTGAGGGTTTATGACATAGCCTCTCGAGGAATTGAATAGTTTCTCGATGCTAGTGATGTCATAAACATGTTTTGTTTTTCAGCACGAGTGGAAGTACGAAGACAAGAAGGCCATGACACGCGAGGACTTCATGGACGTCCTGTTTTACGTTGACTACGTCCTCATCAAGGCTTCCCATGGGAACATGATGCGACACAACAGGTGAGCTCTCCTCTCTGTCTTTGTGTGAACACACAATGGGTTAGACTGAGACATACTGTTAGAGGGCTGTTTACTCTTCCTTTTAGTATCATGGTCAGATTAATCATGTCATGTTAACATGGATCACCCGCTGCATTTAACAGTGACTTGTTTTAATGAACGAGGGGCAATAGCATTTGATAATAGCATGTTTCAGGTATAGAGAAGAGAATGCAGAATGTCCATGGAAAAGCGTTGCATTGTTGACATTGGCTCACATGGCTGTCGCTCTCCCTCTCTCTATCTCTCTCTCCACTAAACCCAGGATCTCTGAGATTTCTATGGAGGTGGCAGAGGAGGGAAGGCCGTCCGTGGAGAGTGAGCGGGCCCACCAGATAGAGAAATGTGACTGCCCCCTGGGCTACTCCGGCCTGTCCTGCGAGGTAAGCTAGCTAGCCACACAGCTAGCTGTGTCTCTGTGTCTCCCATCAGACCATCAGCCATGGCAACAGGGTCCATCAGAGAGGGCTCTCGGTGTGTGTGTGTGTGTGTGTGTGTGTGTGTGTGTGTGTGTGTGTGTGTGTGTGTGTGTGTGTGTGTGTGTGTGTGTGTGTGTGTGTGTGTATGTGTGTGTGTGTGTGTGTGTGTGTGTGTGTGTATGTGGCAGTCGGTCACAGTCCAATCAGAGCCACAGACATGGAGACAGGAGAAAACAGCTGTTAGAACACTCCACAAGACAATCCTTCTCATCAAAACTGCCAGCTCTCTCTCTCTTTCTCTCTCTCCCTCTCTTTCTCACAGCTCCATCCAGACACATCTAATGCTCCCCCACTCTTTAGCGCGGCTCTAATCCACTCCTAATTAACTCTTGTGTTACTACGACAACTTCCATCCAAACCTAAGTGTTACTGATGTGTCTCCGACTGGATTCCTCATAAAGGTGGCTGTAAGCAAACCAGACAGATGGCACTTATTTGAAGCTGCCACATAGTTAATAAAGTATTTTTAAACAGGCGTTTAACGTGTTTGCTGGGAACAGATGGCGTCTCAAATTGACCTGATTAATTCTCAGTGCGTGTGTCTTGTTGGAGCTCCAGAGCCTGGCATTCCCGTGAGCGGCTCGGGGGCGTAACAGCCTAACAAGTAACCGTGTGTCTGTCTGTGTTTCGCCCATCGGCAGGAATGTGGGGCAGGGTTTTACCGCCTGTCTGCCCGCAGCGGTGGCGCGGCCTCCAGAGCAGGCATCGGGAGCTGTGTGCAGTGCCAGTGCAACAGGCACAGTGAGGCATGTGACCCGGAGACATCCATCTGCCAGGTAAGCTCTTTACATAGTCCCCATGACCTGAGGAGAAGGATGCCATTGGCACTGGTTGGCAGGCTGCCCTGTGACTGCACCCATACCCGCCCACTCTACTCTACTCTCTCTCTACCATAGATGGGTAATTAGCCCAACAATTTACTTCACAGCTCCGTTTCAAATTTACTTTAGCCCAGACCTTTATCTAGCAAATTAAAAACTCTCTCCCTTTTATCCTCTATCTTCTCAACTCCCCTGGGTTTCAAACTGTCGGAATAATGGCGCCGGAGGAGAGGGCTGCCGTTGTACGGCCCCCTAACCAATTGTGCTATTATGTGTGTTTTTTTGCGTTATCTGTAATTTATTCTGTACATAATGTTTCTGCCATCATCTCTTATGACCAAAAAGAGCTTCTGGATATCAGGACATCGATTACTCACCTCGTATTGGACGAAGATTTTTTCTTCAACGTGTCGGACGCAAAGGATATTCTACAGACACCCGACAAGGCCCAAATCCCCGTCATTCGCATGAGAAAGAGACTGAAATATCGTGGACGTAGGTCAGCGTGCCTTGTAAAGATCAGACGGCGAGTGAGTAATCTGCCTCTACCATCAGTCCTATTAGCCAACGTACAATAATTGGAAAAACAAAAATGGACGACCTACGATCACGGATATCCTACCAACGGGATATTAAAAACGGTAATATCTTATGTTTCACCGAGTCGTGGCTAAACAACGACATGGATAGCATACAGCTGGCGGGATATACGCTACATTGGCAGGATAGAACGGCTGACTCCGGTAAGACAAGGGGTGGCAGTCTGTGTATATTTGTAAACAATAGCTGGTGCACAAAATCAAACATTAAGGATGTCTTGAGTTTTGCTCACCTGAGGTAGAGTATCTCATGATAAGCTGTAGACCACACTATTTACCAAGAGAGTTTACATCTATATTTTTCGTAGAGCATTTACCACCACAAACCGATGCTGGCACTAAGACTGCACTCAATGAGCTGTATAAGGCCATAAGCAAACAGGAAAACGCTCATCCAGAGGCAGCGATCCTAGTGGCCGGGGATTTTAATGCAGAGAAACTTAAATCCGTTCTACCTCATTTCTACCAGCATGTTAAATGTGCAACCAGAGAAAAAAAAAACTTTACTCCACACACAGAGATGCGTACAAAGCTCTCCCTCGCCCTCCATTTTGCAAATCTGACCATAATTATATCCTCCTGATTCCTGCTTATAAGCAAAAACTAAAGCAGGAAACACCAGTGACTCGGTTAATAAGGAACTGGTCAGATGACGCAGACGCTAAGCTACAGGACTGTTTTGCTAGCACAGACTGGAATATGTTCCGGGATTCTTCCGATGGTATTGAGGAGTACACAACATCAGTCACTGGCTTCATCAATAAGTGCATCGATGACGTCGTCCCCACAGTGACCGTACGTACATACCCCATCCATGGATTACAGGCAACATCCGCACTGAGCTAAAAGGTAGAGCTTCCGCTTTCAAGGAACGGCACTCTAACCTGGACGCTTATAAGAAATCCCGCTATGCCCTCCGACGAACCATCAAACAGGCAAAGAGTCAATACAGGACTAAGATTGAATCGTACTACACCGGCTCCGACGCTCGTCGGATGTGGCAGGGCTCGCAAACTATTACAGACTACAAAGGGAAGCACAGCCACGAGCTGCCCAGTGACACGAGCCTACCAGACGAGCTAAATCACTTCTATGCTCGCTTCGAGGCAAGCAACACTGAAGCATGCATGAGAGCTGTTCCGGATGACTCATTGATCACGCTCTCCATAGCCGATGTGAGTAAGACGTGTTAAGCAGGTCAACATTAACAAGGCGGATTACCAGGACGCATACTCTGAGCATGCGCTGACCAACTGGCAAGTGTCTTCACTGACATTTTCAACATGTCCCTGACTGAGTCTATAATACCAACATGTTTCAAGCAGACCACCATAGTCCCTGTGCCCAAGAACACTAAGATAACCTGCCTAAATGACTACCGACCCGTAGCACTCACGGGTCAGATGATGATATCTCTATTGCTCTCCACACTGTACTTTCCCACCTGGACAAGAGGAAAACCTAAGTGAGAATGCTATTCATTGACTACAGCTCAGCGTTCAACACTATAGTGCCTTCAAAGCTCATCACTAAGCTAAGGACCCTGGGACTAAACACCTCCCTCTGCAACTGGATCCTGGACTTCCTGACGGGCTGCCCCCAGGTGGTAAGGGTAGGTAAGCTGATCCTCAACACGGGGGCCCCACAGGGTTGTGTGCTCAGTCCCCTCCTGTACTCCTTGTTCACCCATAACTGCATGGCCAGGCATGACTCCATCACTATCATTAAGTTTGCCAACGACACAACAGTGGTAGGCCTGATCACCGACAACGATGAGACAGCCTATAGGAAGGAGGTCAGAGACCTGGCCATGTGGTGCCAGAATAACAACCTCTCCCTCAATGTGATCAAGACAAAGGAGATGATTGTGGACTACAGGAAAAAAAATAGGACTGAGCACGCCCCCATTCTCATCGACGGGGCTGTAATGGAACAGGTTGAGAGCTTCAAGTTCCTTGGTTTCCACATCACCAACGAACTATCATGGTCCAAACACACCAAGACAGTCATGAAGAGGGCACAACAAAGCCTATTCCCCCTCAGAAGACTGAGAAGATTTGGCATGGGTCCTCAGATCCTCAAAAAGTTATACAGCTGCACCATCGAGAGCATCCTGACTGGTTGCATCACTGCCTGGTATGGCAACTGTTCGGCCTCCGACCGCAAGGCACTACAGAGGGTAATGCGTACGGCCCAGTACATCACTGCGGCCAAGCTTCCTGCCATCCAGGACCTCTATACCAGGCGGTGTCAGAGGAAGGCCCTAAAAATGGTCAAAGACTCCAGCCACCCTAGTCATAGACTGTTCTCTCTGCTACCGCACAGCAAACGGTAGCGGAGCGCCAAATCTAGGTCCAAAAGGCTTCTTAACAGCTTCTACCCCCAAGCCATAAGACTCCTGAACAGCTAATCATGGCTACCAGGACTATTTGCATTGTCACCCCAACTCTTTTACGCTGCTGCTACTCTCTGTTTATTATCTATGCATAGTCACTTTAACTCTACCCACATGTACATATTACCTCAATTATCTCAACTAACCTGTGCCCCCGCACATTGACTCTGTACCGGTACCCCCTGTATATAGCCTCCCTACTGTTATTTTATTTTACTGCTGCTCTTTAATAATTTTTTCTTAAAACTGCATTGTTGGTTAAGGGCTTGTAAGTAAGCATTTCACTGTAAGGTCTGCACCTGTTGTATTCAGCGCATGTGGCAAATAACATTTGATTTGATTTGATTTGATTTGATTTGAAACCAGCTCTCAGTCTGAAAAGTTCTCCAAGTGTAGAGGATCAGCAGATTTGTTCAGAACCAAGTTGATAGGCTACATGGTCCAGTGCCACCAGGAAGTAGAGCATAGGTTACTGTCATGGAATAGATTTGACTGGGAAATACTAACAGGGATATTACGCTAGAGAGAAGTCCATGTCATTTAATGTGGAACATAATGTGCCCTTCAAATATAAAACTCAGGGCCCATTGGTCAAGTTAATAACCAACAAAGCTCTTATTCTCTGCTTCCTAAATCACCCCCTAGAGCACATGGAAGCCAGCCCTGCCTCATGTTATAGTGTGGAACTGGAACTCTATGTTGTCAAAGCAATCCCAGCTTTCATTTGCATTTGTGCTAATAACAATATAAATTGCATTTTACGGAGCAGGAAAATTGAAAATGTTAAATGAGTTTGTACAGCGTAATTTGGTTAATTGAGGTACACAGGAAGTTAATGAACGTCTTTGGAATACCACGGCTCAGTAGGCCAGAACTTCCGCTGACTGATTAGTATTACCTCTCTGAATTGTCAGTTTGGCACTTTTTCTCAGAGCAGAGTGGTTGAGAGAGGAGAGGAAAACAGCTCTGAGTTGACAGCTCACGCTCTGGAAGGGCCCTCACTTCAAAACAACAGCTAAGATACATCCACCCTCCACCTCGACAGCCACTGGGTTTAGTTTGACTCTGAAGGTGTAGCCTATTTGAAGTGAATGGTTGTGAATGTGAATATGATATTAGTGACGGGACGGGTGTCTTCTCTACAGAACTGCCAGCAGAACACAGAGGGGGACAGGTGTGAACGCTGTGCCCCAGGATACTATGGTGTAGTGAGGGGCAGACCCGATGACTGCAAACCCTGTGCCTGCCCCCTCACCAACCATGAGAACAAGTAGGTCACAGAGACACAGGTGAATGGCTGGACTACTGTACAATAAAGCAGCTCTCATCTGTAGCTCTCTCATTCTCTCAGTTTTAGCCCTACCTGTGTAACAGAGGGATTCAATGACTACCGCTGTACTGCCTGCCCCGAGGGCTATGAGGGAAAGTACTGTGAGAGGTAAGAACTCTCTCCTCAACATTTACTAAACCCAACATGCTCTTTGTGAATCATACTGAACTCACCTCATCAGGGACCTTGCTGGCCCACATTGCTAACAGAACATCACTTTCTGTTAGTTATCTACTCTAAACCTTGTTGTCGCTCCACTAGATGTGCCACAGGTTACCACGGTGACCCCCGTTCCCCCGGCGGGAAGTGTGAGGAGTGTAAGTGTGACCCGTACGGGGCGTGGCCCCAACCGTGTGACCCCCGCTCAGGCCAGTGCCGCTGCCGGCCCGGGGCCACTGGACGCACCTGCAGCCAGTGCATGGAGAGGCATGTGTGTGGGCCCTCTGGGATCGTGTGTACGTACACTAATATAACTTACTTTTGATGTTCATTCAATATTCTAGACTAAGCCTTTTTTTTCTCTATTTTTTAAAAACCTTTTCTGTGAGTCTAAAGTGGTAGAAAATTACTTTGGGGACAGTTGTAAAACTGCCTAATTAGCCAGGCCTTCTTGAGGATTATAATCTTCATAAGAAGGAATTTAGAGTTTATTGAATTCAAAATACTTTGTAGTGATTCTTTACAAATTATTATTATTTCTACTTTTATGTATTCAGGGGAACCCAATTGAGGCCAGGATCTCATTCTTAATGGTACCCTGAGAACAAACAATTCACAAATCAACATGATAATTCAATAAAACAGAAGAAAAAAAAATACACTACATTTCAACAACACAAATTAATTATTGCAATCAACAAAAACACTCGCAAGCCTCAGTGAATTCATTCCTCATCAGCGTTCTAAACTGCCCTATTGGCACCAGGGAATCAAGATGGGGGGCGTTAAAACTAAATAAAGGCTGATTTACCTAGGTTGGTAGAGAAACTAGGGACCTCAAGAGTTAACCAACCTTGTGAGCGGGTTTGGTACCTTGTATTTGAGTCGATGTCCGTTCCCCCACGGAATTCTAATTTGCATTATAAAAAAATCCCCATAAAAATCTGTCTGTTTAAGCTAGAGATATCAGTTTTTTTGCACGAGCTGTGTCTCATTCCACTGCATTTGCATTGGAATGTGGCAGAGCTACAGCGGTGTTTGTCAGACCAGGAGACATCCTGAAAATGTGTCTTCTCACGAACACGTCTCTAGCATCCGAACGGTATATGGCCCCTCTCATGAACACGAACATGTTGGCTGTTTTGCTCTAGAACGCCCACAAGCTTCACAAGACTCGTCTGAAGGTAGCCCGGAACCAGTTAAAAAAATGAATGGAAGTATATATGGAAGTAGTTTAGTGCCCCAAAAAGTTCAATTAAGGTAAAAAATAAATAAACTGAGCTTTCTTATCTCTCAGATATAGGACATACTTCCTTTTGATTTATTTTCATACTCTGTTTTGACATGTATGAATATGTTACTCAATGTGTTTCTATGGGCGAATAAGACCAAATTCAATGTTTCATCAAATATTTTTTGTATATATTTTCTTTATACTTACAGGGTCCTAAAATTTCAAATCAAATAGCTAAATGATCCTTGGTATGACTATCATAAAACAATTCCATATGTTATCTTAGTAGAAACCCAGCCCCGGGCCCTTTTAACAGAGAAGTGGTATACACTATATATACAAAAGTATGTGGACACCCCTTCAAATGAATGGACTTGGATATTTCAGCCACACCGTTGCTGACAGGTGTACAAAATCGAGCACACAGCTATGCAATCTCCATAGACAAACATTGGCAGTAGAATGGCATTACTGAAGAGCTCAGTGACTTTCAACGTGGCACCGTCATAGGATGCCACCTTTCCAACAAGTCAGTTGGTCAAATTTCTGCCCTGCTAGAGCTGCCCTGGTCAACTGTAAGTGCTGTTATTGTGAAGTGGAAACGTCTAGGAGCAACAACGGCTCAGACGCGAAATGGTAGGCCACACAAGCTCACAGAACGGGACCGCTGAGTGCTGAAGCGTGTAGCACGTAAAATCGCCTTTCCTCGTTTGCAACACACTACTGAGTTCCAAACTGCCTCTGGAAGCAACCTTTAGCACAAGAACTGTTAGTCTGGAGCTTCATGAAATGGGTTTCCATGGCCGAGCAGCCCCACACAAGGCTAATATCACCATGCGCAATGCCAAGCATCGGCTGGAGTGGTGTAAAGCTCGCTGCCATTGGACTCTGGAGCAGTGGAAACGCGTTCTCTGGAGTGATGAATCACGCTTCACCATCTGGCAGTCCGACAGACGAATCTGGGTTTGGCGAATGCCAGGAGAATGCTACTTGTCCGAATGCATAGTGCCAACTGTAAAGTTTGGTGGAGGAGGAATAATGGTCTGGGGCTGTTTTTCATGGTTCAGGCTCCTTAGTTCCAGCGAAGGGAAATCTTAACGCTACAGCATACAATGACATTCTAGATGATTCTGTGCTTCCAACTTTGTGGCAACAGTTTGGGGAAGGTCCTTTCTTGTTTCAGCATGACAACGCCCCCGTGCACATAGCGAGGTCCATACAGAAATGGTTTGTCGACATTGGTGTGGAAGAACTTGACTGGCCTGCACAGAGCCCTGACCTCTACCCCATTGTTCACCTTTGGGATTAATTGGAACGCAGACTGCGAGACAGGCCTAATCGCCCAACATCAGTGCCCAACCTCAATAATGGTCTTGTGGCTGAATGGAAGCAAGTCCCCGCAGCAATGTTCCAACATCTAGTGGAAAGCCTTCCCAGAAGAGTGGAGGCTGTTATAGCAGCAAAGGGGGGACCAACTCTATATTAATGCCCATGATTTTGGAATGAGGTGTTTGAGCAGGTGTCCACATTCTTTTGGTCATGTAGTGTATGTTGGAAGCTTGTGCAGCAGAGCTTTGTAAGCAAAAAGGGAGAAATGAAGTGATCTATGGGAATTTCGAGAGGTCCAGCCGATGCAGTGATGAGTATTAAACCTGTCACCTGTGATAAAGCGAAGTGCACTGTGGTACACTGCATCCAAGGGTTTTAGAGTATTGGCTGCTGCATTCTAATAAATGGTGCCACCATAATCAAGAGCTGGCAGGAAGGTTGCCTGTACAACCTGCTTCCTGCTGTTTAGAGAGAGGCATGATCTAGTTCTATAAAAGAAGCCTACTTTAAACATTAGCTTCTTAACTAGCTCATCCATATGTTTTTTAAACAACAACTTTTTGTCAATCCAAAAGCCCAGATATTTATAGGCGGGAACCTGCTCAATGAGAAAACCATCCAATGCCATCTGTGCGTAAACCCTCTGAAATATTTCTACATACATTCAGTTTTTCCCATGTTAAGTACCCATTTTAAATCAACAAGGGCTTTCTGCAAGGCAACAAAATCAGATTGCAGCTATAACATAGCCTGGTCAGCAGTAGGGGCAATAACGTACAGATGAATGTTACAGGTTTTTGCAGATAGACCATATTATTTATATAAATAGTAAAGAAGAGATGTCCCGAAATCGACCCCTGCGGGACACCTTTAGTAATATCAAGGTAACTGGACTTGACACCATCAGAAGGCACAAGATGCCTGGAATGAGTAGGCGATGGTCGACAGTATCAAAGGCCTTGGATAGGTCTATAAATATGGCAGCACAGAGAATCCTATGATCTAAGCAATTTAAGACAAGTGTAGCTGCTGAAACTGCTATGTCTAGGTCTAAAACCAGACTGGTGCACATTAAGAATATAATTTGAAGTAAAAAAAGTTCTTAGCTGAGCGTTTGTCAGTGATTCTAATATTTTTGCAAGGCAAGATAGTTTAGAAATGGGCGGTAGTTATCTAGGTCAGAAGGATCCCCGCCTTTGTGAAGGGGGAGAACATGTGTTGCCTTCCAGATCTTAGGAATAGCACCAGAAGCAATTGTTGAATAAAAAATGTGGGTCAAAGGTTCTACAATGATGGGGGCAGAAAGCTGCAGTAAAAAGGGATCAAGCTATTCAGCTCCTGTGAATTGTTTTACATAAATTTTTTGCAAGGCACTTCATCATTTACATAAAATGGTTCAAATGTCTTTTTAAAGAGTGAGTGCCTGGAAGTGCATCATTCTCTGCTATCTGTTTAGAGGTGTATAAAGGACTCCCTCTAGTGGAACTTGAGGTATTTTCAGAAACTATTATTTCAAATAGGTGGCCAGCTGAGGCAAAAAGGTTATAAAAAGCACCACAAATGTCATTTTTGTCTATTATGGTACCAGAGGCTGTCATAAACTGCTGGGGCGATGAGGAGGTGGAGTTACATTTTAAAGATTTTACCACATTCCAGAATTTAGCTGGAATTTCCACCACTCTCAGATACACAATTCAAGAAGTATGTTGTCTTTGCTTTTCTAACCAGTGTAAGACATCTATTTCTCAAATGTCTGAAGGACTGCCAGTCAGAGGTAGAATAAGTCAATCTAGCCTTAGCCCAAGCTAAGTTTATTTAATGAAATCTTTCAGACAATTAATGTGGAAAACATGGGTTTGATCTGTCCTTTACCCTTAATCTTTTATATGTGGCATGCTTATCTGCAACAGAGATAAACAGAGAGGTAAGACATTTAAGGGCCTGATCCGAATCAGAGATAGAGGACACATCCAATCATACAACCCCAGGTCATACAGGAAATGTTGCTCATTGAAAGTAAAAAAATGTATTTTTGTAATAATGCGCAGACAATATTTCGGTAGCTTAGTATCAAAGATTCCATTGGCTGTATACTTATGAGGGGCATTTGTCAGAAAGAGTCGATTTTTCAGGGTGTCTTAAGTTGGAGCAGGTTGGTTTATTTATGAGTTTAGTTCAATTTAGCTCAGTGCAAATATCTTTCAGTTTATCTTGTACTGGCATCAGCCAATCCAGGTTAAGATCCCCCAATGTTAATAATTCAGATATAGCATAGTTAGACAGCAAGTCTGACAATTTGATAAGAGCAGTTGGGAGGGCCGAGGGAGACAATGTACTATAGGCTATATTGTATATTTATTAACCTACATCCCACGGCAAACAAAATGTTATTCCAAGTGCATGCGAAGAAGCGCCAATCCCAATGTAAACAAAGATGGCGGCCACTATATTTGTCAAAAAGTAGAAGTAGTGAATGTTATCAAAGCCTAATTTGTAAGAAAGAAGTATCAGTCTTGTTTCACAAAACATTGTTTGCTCTTGAATTACTGTAATTTGTTTGAGACTACATTTTATCATACTTCAGGCAATGAATAGTACTGTATGTTTTAGATACAATTCTGTAGGCTACGGTGCCAACTGAACTGGCAAGCTGACTATCTGAAAAATGTCTAACTGTTCCCAGTAGGTTTCCTGAAGCAGTGATAGTAGGGGTCCATTGCTTGTTAGATACAGTATTTCAGATGATACAGGTGAAACTG